TGCGCCCACAGGCTCTGGGGAGGGGCGGCGGCCGGGTTGGCCTCCCCACGGGAGCCTGCATGCCCCCTCCCCCATTGTCCCGGCCTCCGGCCGTTTGCGGCTTCCAGGTTGACTTTTTAGGGGGTTGGCTTCTACTCTGCTAGGACTGTGTGAGTGGAGCATGCGCACTGGAGACGTACGTGTGCGGAGTGGAAGGGGGGAGGCGGGTTGGTGGCTTCACAATGCCGCCCCACGTGCTGCCAGATTTAAAGAGAAATGATCCAGCAGTTACCCCTGCTGTCCAACGCCCAGCGTGTGTCATTTTCAGTTCAGGCTGTCTTCCCCCTCCCCACTCCAGAGCCAGCGGATCCTAGTCCTCGGCAGAAGCCAGAGGCTAGAATGAGGAAATCTATGCCTGAAATAGATTTACTAAGAGTTTGAGGTTTTAGTTAAATCACCTTTATGGCAAAAGGTTGTCAGGGGCTGTTACAGATTGCATAATTAGGTTTATTATTAGACCATGAGCAAGCAGGTTTGGACAAGTAAAAAAGTTCTAGATGCTCAGGGGGCGTGACTTCGAAGTGAATGGAGAAGTTCTATGAAACTGTAGTGTGTCCATCACGAATATATTGGAAAAGCAATGAACGAATAACAACTTTATTGCATCTTATATTTGCAAGCACTTTTTCTGTGTTCTTGTTTTTTTGTTTTGTTTTGGAGACAGGAATTAAGATTTTCTTTTGTCTTCCTGAGAACAATTAGAACAAATTTTTATTATGTGGTGAACTAGTATTAAACAGCATTAAAGTACTAAATCAGTATTGAAATAGTACTCAATTCTTACATAATGGAAAAAAGACAAACATTTTAAAAGGTGTAAAAGAAGTTAAGCAGTTACTGAGAAAGTGAAATATGACCAATAACTGTGTCAGCAGTAGCAATGTGTCAAAACTATTTCTAATCTATTTGTGAACCAGCTCTAGATCTTGGTGGTCACTTATTTTAGTTTTGCACATCCCAAAGTGCAAACACTTCCCAAAACTCTATGTTAATGACTGATTTTCTGATAGGTTACACTAAAATACACTTTAAGGCAGAAGAATGATTTAGTTTGTAATTTTTCAGGTCTCATTACAAAGTTACTTAGCTGCTGATCAAGTTTTCTTGCCTTCTTGTTAGAAACAATGAAACTGTTCTTAATATTTTTCAAGATTTTTGATGAATTTTAATTAACATGCTCAAAACATGTATTAAAGTGTAAAAATATAAAGTATTGGAAAAATTAGATAACAGCACACTAAAATAAAAGCCTTGTTTTAGTAGTATATTGTTGGATCTTTGTGGTTCTTCAAATATCATTTGAAAACAGGCAAGAATGTACAGTGTAATTTTTTGAAATTATTTAGAGTAAATGTTTGGAAGATTTGATAATCAAATGTTTTAAAAAAATCTTAAAGTGTATTGAATAGATATACAAAACTGTAATTCTAGCCAGTAGAATTGTAGTAACTTACACCAGCAATGACCAACAATGGCTACATTTATTGAGCCTCCCGTCTGCCAGTCCTTAAGGATTTAAGTTCATCAGTTGGGAGAATATACTGGGTGTGTTTTGTTGATAACTGTAATGAAGAACCTAATTACTTTCAGATTGAACAAAATGGTTCCTTAGGTTGCAGAGATTCTCACCTTGGCACTACTGACATTTTGGGCTGTTGATTGTTGTGGGGCCTATACAGTGCATTGTAGAATGTTTAGCAGCATTCCTGGTCTTTACTCACTAGATGCCAGTAGTACATCCCCTCAGTTGTGACAACCATAATTGTCTCCTGAGGGACAAAATCATCCAGGTTGAAAACCACTGGTGTTTTAGTGAAATTATATGACTATTATGAAGCAAGTAAGAACACCTAACAGATTGATGAAATCAGATAGGTTGTGTATTTCTTTGCGGATATTATTAGAATATGACTTACTCCTTTGCAAATTCAGCAGTGGCAATTCAACTTTTGCAGTACATTATGTTAAACACTATGAAATCCCCCAGCACAAGAGATAATTTGAAAGAATTTTACTTTTTGAAAAGACGTTGTAAGCATTGGTTAAAAATACAGAGTACAAAAAAAGTGTAGTCTTTTCATTCCAAGTTTTTTTTCATTGAAGCATCCATCATTGACAAATGTCTGTCTTTTCAGAGAGGTTCTTATATATGTATTTATATGAGCTAACCCTGCACCAGGCACTAAGCTGAGCACTTTACATATATTATCTCATTTAATCCTCATAATAAGGAAGTATAGGTTTGGAGAGGCTAAGTAGCTTGCCCATGGTTACACAGGTGATGCTAGTAATGCTGTTAGAATGAAGACTTGCTTAGCAGGGACTCATGCCTGTAATCCCAGCCCTTTGGGAGACCGAGGCTAGAGGATTGCTTGAGTCCAGGAATTTGAGACCAGCCTAGGTACCACAGACCTCTTCTCTTAAAAAAGCAAACAAACCAAGAAACAAAAACCCCCAAAATTTAGCCATGCATGGTGGTGCCACCTGTTGTCCTAGCTACTCTGGAGGCAGAGGTGGGAAGGATCGCTAGAGCCCAGGAGTTCCAGGCTGTAATGAGCTGTGATTGTGCCACTGCATTCCAGCCAGGGCCACAGAATGAGACCTTCTTTTTTTAGTGACACTTTTGTTATTTTTAATTGGCTATAGGGCCTCCCAGGGAGGAGTGATCAATATAATCATGAAATAGGGTTTTGCAAATTTAAATAGTCAAGGTAAATTTATCCAGTAATTACCAAAATTAGTTTTCCTATCTTAATAAAATTTATTGTACAGAATAACACTTGTTAAGATAGACCCACCTGGGCAGCAAGACCTCATCTCTACAATAAATCAAAAAATCAGCCGGGTGTGGTAGCGCATGCCTGTAATTCTGGCTACTTGGAAGAATGAGGCGGCCGGAGCCCAGCAGGTGGAGGCTGCGGTGGCCGGGAGCGGCAACTGCACTCCAGTCTGGGTGACAGAGTGAGACTCCAACTCAAAAAAAAAAAGATATAACTGAGGGCCGGGCTCGGTGGCTTAGCCTGTAATCCCGTGCCTTGGGAGGCCGAGGTGAGTGAATTGCTTGAGCCCGCGGGTTCAAGATCAACCTGGGCAACTTGGTGAGACCTCATCTCTACAGTAAATCAAAAAAAATTAGCCAGGTGTGGTAGCACGTGCCTCTAGTTCCAGCTACTTGGAAGGCTGAGGCAGAAGGATCGCCGGAGACCAGCAGATTGAGGCTGCAGTGGCTGGGGGGGGGC